TTTTTTGCTTGGCCCCTGTGGCCTTTATCAGTCAATGTAATATAGAAGAACATTATTTGATGCAATGTCAAGTTCCCAAACGTTATGTATATGATATAAGTAGGTTGCCCAATGGAACATGTATTTTTATAAATACATTTTATTAATTTTTACATTTATTGACTTATCAGGTGTAAGTCTCGTAGCACCAAAAGTAACAACAATACAAAATAACTAATGACATAATTAGAACAATTTATGTGTTTTACTTCAGAAAAATTTAGTGTAATTATCATAATAAAAAAAAATTATTTACTGAAAATGAAACAAATAAATAAGTATGGCTTTCACGTTCAAATATTGAAAAATATTTAATAATTACGGATAGTATAATCACTGTTACAGTGACATTAATGAATAAAATACAACATTCTTAATAAGAATTGATTCCATATGGAATCATTGGGTTGTTCATAAAAATATGAAAAACTGTTAAACCTCATGATGCCAACTATATGGCATCACTGGATCTGAAAAGGTAATACATAAAGGTGTATCAAGTGTATATTACGTGATAACATTATTATTGGGCAAAGTATTAAAGATGAGTGTAAGAATATAAGAATAAACCAATATTTTTTTATATTTGATACGGTGAATACTTTTTAAATTTATTGATCAAATACTGAATTGACGTACGGATTTATGATGAATACGTTACGATTAATTTACAAAACATTTACGAGTTTATAATCTATTGAATTTTATATAATGGTACTGATAAATCTATATTATTAAATTAGCCGAAGTTTTAACGAAGATACGTTCATCATAAATTATATTATATACGAGTGTTATATTATTATGTATTACATAGTATAATATAACGGAACGGTATTGTGTGAAAACCATGTTCACGTCGATTTATAAACGATTTAATAGAATACCTCTATAAACATATGATAATATACTGAAAAATGATTCATCAAAACGAATTTAGAAAATCTGTATAATAATATATATAACACAACACACTAGTGTATGATACACCCGTATTAGATATATAATATTAAAACTTTTTGAACCTAGTGTAAAACAACGATAACAGTAAGAAAAAATCATGTTTCGAGTGAAAATTTAACGGCAGCTAATGCATACAGAGCTGTACTGTATTTTATGTTTCATAAAAAAATACAATTTAATCTTGTAACATTATACAAACAAAATTAACCGGTAGTGGAGAAGACAAGTTGTTAATAACATAAGATCAGCGAAGAGTCAATATTAGTTTAGTGGTAGAATTACTACGAAACAACAGAAAGTGCTCTACTTAAACCGTTTTCCAATAATACACTTTTATCTCGTATCAACCGAATTTAATTGATTTTATTCTAAAAACTAATGTACTGACGAGATGAAATATAATCCTGTACGTCCGGCACATGAAGAAAAATTGTTTAGTTTTTCTTTAATTCAAATCCACTATATTTCAAAATCGTTTCCTTAATGATAAATGTAGTATTTCAACTAGAGTTAATGGTAGAATTTCCTACGATTGGCAGACTAAGAAAAATGTTCATATAAAAACGTTTTGTCAAATACATCATTCAGTTCACACATCTGAATACATAACTCTTTTTTTTTAGATAGGTAACCTATGGTATTTGATTTCTACATATACATTAAATAATTTTTAGGGACATGAATTTAAAATAACATAATTCGTATTATGATATTTAGAAAATGTTCTGATATTTCAAACAGCATAAATTGTGCTCATTAGTATACATGTTCTCACGTATCTACTTTAACTTTGGATTCGTGTTTCATGTAAATTGCGAATACATTTTATCGTATTAATTTTTTACAAAAACTGTGTTTAAGTTTTTCTATGTTTGTAGAATAATATAACACTCAAATGTATCAAATTTTTAAGCGTGCGTTTTAATGATGAGTTTTTAACTAGAACAGATTGAATTTCCATAGATTATCTTTGATGTATTTAAAATGTCAATAATTGATGAGGAGTTGAATACCGAGAGTACATGTTTGTTCTCTCAATGCAGCAAAGTTGTGTAAGAGTGTTTGAAACAACAATTGCTATAATCGAAAAACTATTCGGTTGACCCAATAATAGTGCCAAAATCGGTTAACTTTTTCTTACAGTCTTTTATGCAAATCTTGAGAATTTAGTAAACTATAATATCCCATTGTTCAACAGTATCTAACTATAGTAACTTTTTGCTAAAATGAGAAAACTATAATTATTAATACAATATTGATATAATTTTAAAAATCCAAATATTCTTATTATTTTACTATATTTTTTCGTACTCGTAAATTGGTGTAAATAAATTTTACATTTATTCATATATGATTATTCTTTATGCATATTTTTATTTTCATACTATAAAACTTCATAATAAACATAATACTGTATTGATTATATAATTTGACTGTATTATAAATAAGTTATCGTGAAATATTTTTAAAATTTTTTAAATATTATTTTTATCAAATTGTGAACAAACTTATTTGTTAAATATATCAATAAGGAATAAATTATGTTTTTATTTAGGGGAACTCAAGAACGTGACCTAAAAAACTAAATACACTACCGATAAATGTATTCTTAAGGTCCTTTTCACTTACATTAATTGAAACTCAGTATTATATTTAAGTCATTTTTGATATATTAGATACACTTAAAAGGAAAATCATATAAATTAATTTCTTTAAAAGTCAATGAATTTCCGAATTATTAGTCAATGTCTAAAAGGGTTTTAATAATATAAATTGAATCTATTCAATTACACAAATATTCGATCAATATAAGACTAAGTTTAAAAACCGATACTATGAATCGTATATTTATAACAGTATATTATGCAAATAATTATACTATTGTATTGTTTAAAAAAAGTAACTTTGAAAACAACTTTTTTTTTTTAATTTAATTTTATATTAATGTATGTAATTGATTCGAAGAAAAAAAAATGTTCAAATACTACTTTAATCCAATAATACACAGAACAATTCAGTTTAATTTTTAAACGATTCATTCTACAGGTTATAATTAATAAATAATTACTTTTCCAATGTTTGCTTTATTATTATAATTAATATTGATTCAATCGTTGAATGACGTGGAATATGTTTGTATATTTTCATTGATTCTGACATAATTATTACTGGGCGAAAAAAAGGTTTAAATTATAAGCTGTGAAAATGGCGTTTGATTTCAAATGGAATAGTTCAAGCTTTAAAATCAAGTAAGCCAAGTTGTGTACATCACGTAGAAATATTTATTACAAAAAAAATCGATAACTTACATAATTCTGTACATCATTTAACTCCAATACTATTTTCATAATTTAGATACAATTAGAAGATAAAGTGCTGATTCAAACATTTTTCTTATTCAAATTATCAATCGATAATATTTATTTTTAGTATTATTATATACTTCTAAGAAATAATAATATATATGTACACATTTTTATTTTTATTTTTTATAATAACATCTATTGTTATGTACAACTAAATATCAACTACTTCTGAAAAATAATATTGTTTACACTTACAATAGCAAATAAAACTAATTGCTTTAATTAATTTTCATAGTAAAATAATTTAATACTTGAAAATGTTGCATTACATATAAATTTCTGAAAAGAATTTTTTGAAATTTTACTTTTATTTTTAAATTTATTTCAATGTTCTTGAATTCAGAGTGTTTTTAACCTATATTTACAGCAAATAGTTTATATTTTTAAAACAAAAATTAGTAAATTATTTTCTAATCTATTAAATTTTAAAGAAAACTTTGATGAAACTAAATATTAAGAATACCCTTTTTTAATGGAAATTATATTTGGATTATAAGATGAACATTTTATTCTATTGAACTTATTTTTTTGCTAAAAAAATGAGGTAAAACCTTTAAAACAAAAAAAAATAATAACACATTTTTCATGAAAGTATAAAATCAATAAATATTATTTTGGTTTTTTAACGAACCAGATAGTTTTTTATTCAATTTTTTCTGTATATTTTATTGTGAGCTTCAATCGTTATATGTTGTATTGGATAACTATGAAAAGGACATTACACTTAAAATATTGTGCTGTACGTTAATTTCATATAAAGATAACTATTTTCTAAAAAGACTAAAAACTGTATGTATAATATATTTAAAACAATAGGAAAATGGGGGAAAAACAATGATAATAATAACTCTTAAATTATTTAAATGGCTTTTTCAAGATTGCAATGTGTGGGTGTCAAAGGTGTTAGAAATCGAGTGAAAAAATGTACCAATGAGTTTAAAACCGCAACTCTCTATGCTAAATATTGACTTGCAATCACTGGGATACCATGCCTTAATTATTAATTTCATGTATAGTGGTGGATATTAGCGTTGTAGGGCCAAGGAGAGATAATGCACTATGTTATAATGACAGGATTTATGATTAGAGTTAGGCTATAGAGTAGTTAAAACAAAGTTAGATATGTAATTAGAAACCGTTTAAAAATAATCAGAGCGTGGAATCGTTCATAGCCGAGAAGATATAAACATAAATAAGATTCCAATCGTTAGGGAAACTGGGATACAGACATTAAAAGCATACAAGTATAAGGATACAATATTTTTAGATTACTATTTATATATTTTAAAACACTACCAAGTGAGATCCCACATGACTTTAATTTAACAAGGATGTTAAAACGAACGGAGGATGCATAAATTTCAAAACTTTGGTTTCGTGCCACAATAACGTAAAACAACAATAAAATGGTGTCGAACGGTGCCGAGCCCATGGGATTTATAACTTAACTTGTAATCAAATTCCAGTAACGGTTTACGACCGTAATTATTATTATTATTATTGTTTTAATGGATGAATGCGCATATATGTTTATCTAATTATATAACACTTATCCAATGATGCACCCGAGTAGAATGAAAGTGTATCCTAAATCGTATTTACCGATGAGAATTAGTGAAATAAAAAATTTACCTGGGTGTAGGTCATCCAGCAACAGGGTTCCACTTGGTTCGCGTCCAGGCCCCAAAACTCCAATTCCTCTTCGAACAACGGCCCACAAACGTCCGTCGGGTAATGAAGTTTACCGGTCCTGAAAGACAAAATATTACAATTATACACGAGGTTCAAAGGCAAACTGAATAATTTATAGAATTTTAATGAATATGAACCTGTCACCCCGTTCTATAATACAAATGTTCCAAAAACATTTTAACGACTACGCTAGATCACGAGAGAATATGTTAAAACATTAATATACGGTAAAACAAAACAAAATCAAAAATGCAAACAAACATTTTATAATTTTGGTAAAGAAAATCAGTAAAATATGTCAGCATTACCGTACAATGAGAGAGGGGAGGGAAACGTTATATTATGTTACAGTTTTAAGTTTTTGATTAAATGTAAACATAGCGTTTCGAATTTTTATGAGTATATAATAGTATCAAAAAAGTTTTATTGCCTCTTCTATTTTTTTATTCAAAATAGAGAATGCGAAACATCGACATCAAGGAAAAATATGTATAGAAAACATTGTGATAAAATAGTAAAACATAATCTGCAGTAGTTTCGGGGAAAAAATGCACCATATAAAACATAAAAACAGGGATTTTCCTTTATGCATATAAAAATACATAAACCAGTAGGGAATAGTACAAACAGTGTATAAAAATATTAAATATTTTCTTTATAGTCATTTTTGTAAAACAAAACAATCAAATGTTATATAATTTCTAAATCCGGCATGTGTGGCGCAAAGAAAAGAGAAAAACATGAGTTCACGAGATAGTGAATACACTGTAGTTGGTTTCAGTTGATAACCGTTAGTTCTTTTTTTTGCGTTAACCGATATGGTTATACTAATACTATACTAATATTAATTCCAAACCAATGATATACAAATATTTAAAATAAAAATGTTAAACCATATCTGCGTAATATATATATGTTGTAGCTAGAGGTCGTATTAATATTCTCTTAAATTCCTAAAAATATGATATTTTGTGTCGTTAAAAAAAAACAATATTCTCTAAATATTCTTTAAAAATACCAAATTAATGATGTTTTATGTCTTAAAAAATACAAATATTCTTTCAATATTATGTAAAAAAAAAATTATTATTTTAATTACTTGGTTTTAATTTATTAATTACTAAATGTTATTATTAATTTGATTTACAATAACTTTTTTTACAGTTTTAATGTAAATTTTATTTGTACATGGATTACCTTTGATATCTAGTGAATAATTTTTATAACAACCTAGAAGGATATAAAAATATTTCATATTATGAATATTTTATTTGTTGATCAAAATCATAGATATCTTACTCCCACTTAGCTGTATTCACTAGAAACAAATAAGTAAAATCATAAAAATGCGACCTCTAGTTATAGCTAATACACGAAATCCATCAAAAATAGTGTTTTTATTTTATTAATTTTTACTATTTATTTTGTTTTACTTTTGTTTAGTCAGAACTAATTATGTCCGTAATATACGAGTATTGGCCATACTAGAATTATTAAGTAAAAATACGTAATTTTTATGTTGATAGGTTAAACTAGTTTTACTTAGGAAAAATTAGAAATATAATATGTTTTAGGTTGTATGAGTCCGAATACATGCATTTCAGTTAAAAATTGACTTATTTAAACCTGCGGTAAATTCTAGTTTTAGTCAAAACGAGAATTGACTGAAATGGTTTGTCAAAATTAGTTTTGACGAATTTCGGGTTTTAACAGAAACATAAACATTAATGATTTCTTACTATAGATTGCAAGGAAGCAACAATTGTTTTAGTGTTACGTAAATATGTTTTTACCTGTTCACGATTAAATTTTTGAGTAGTGCAGGAAAACATTTTAAAGAAGTTATTTTTTGATTTTTTCCACAAAAAAGAAAAACTGTAAAAAAACTTGAAAGTTATGAATGTTCACTTTTTTTCAACAAACTTTTGATAATAAACTTGCAAAAACAGTAAATTTATCTTATGTAATTTTAAAGCTGTATGGATGATTCGTCCTAATTAATTTGATAGTGATTGAGATATTTAAAACATAATTTCTTAATACAAATCAAGTTATATAGTCCTTCAGCGCAATGGTAATCAGAATTCAGCAAATAGTTTGACTTATAGATAAAATTATTTATTCATGGAACCAGTAATATATAGCAATTTATAATTTAAGTTCTGTATATTACCAAATATTTCTTATAGAACTGTATCAGGTTATTAAAATAAATATATTATGCTTAAAACAAAAAATTATGTATTTAATTAAATATTAAAAAAAAATATATATATTACTATTTTTAAATATAATATCAACAAATACTAATCATAGGCCGTTGTTTGTGTATTAATATTCCTCACGTGTAACATTGAAATACTCACACTATATTAAACATTTTCCTATATTATAAAAAAAATTACAACGATTACGATAACATTTTTTGAAATATCAATGAATAGGAAATTGTACGCAGTTCACAAAAGATTTTATCCAATCTTTAATAATCTTGTCGGGGTTAAATAAATAAAAAAAAAAAAAAAAACTAAAACTGTAAGATAAATACGCAATTCACGCGGGCGAGAGAAATAATTGTTAGGTTAGGTTAAAATAAAATGAGGTGGTATTATGTACAGAAGTCCCTCGGTATACATCGTTAACTGGATACTTGTGCAACTCTTGCATGGTTGTATGGTTGAGTATTCACGTAGAAGAGGTTAGGTTAGGTTATGTATAATATATACAGGATGAATCTCAGACCGCTATACTACTAGTTTTGGAATAACACGTATACATTTATAGATCTAATTAAAAGATTATACGTAGACACGTTTATTGGTTTTCATGGCTTATTAACATTCCGCTCCAGCTCGCATATAAATAGTTTTATTATAAAATCTTAAAACATTATTTTTTATTTGATCATGTTTGTACTATATGTGTTGAAATATTAGTTATGTTATATGTTTAGATCACAGATATTTTTCATAAATGATTAATTGTATTGGGATGTTACCAGTTAGTAAAGATAACAGCTAAAATTTTAGAGACGCAAAACATCAATTAATATTATAGTATAGTGTACGCGTGTTTTCAAGGTCCTAACTATCTGATTTTAGACAAGCGATGACGTTTAAAATATTTTGTTTCATCATAATTATTTTTTTCTACCGTCGAACGACGGAAAAAATGCGATGTAAAACGACATCAGATACATCCCGTACAAGCGTAATACAAGTGTAAGTAAATTGTATGGACCCATAGTAGTCGACTAGATAAGTATGTCAAAATCACTTGTTCGGAATTCTCGCGAGCGTATTACACGCACACAATATCTTCGCGTCGACACCGTATCGCGTTCACACACTATTCGCACACGAGTCTTCTGCCATCACCACGCCTCGTCCAACAGCCCAACCCTTAGCCCTTTTCTCCTTCCGTTAATATCTCTCGCCTTTTCCTTTTCATCTCTATACACTAGCTATTCTCCAGATCATCCTTCCCACCGCGTGCTGTCAATAGCGTCCACGTAAACTTGTGCGCTCACACGCGATTTAACGCTCACCCGTGGTGGCGGGTGGTCGGAAGAGCCGAATTCATTTCATGAAACGATGCTCTCAGTCAAACTGCGCAAAACTGGTCTCATCTGGCTCGAACAATATGTATAGAAATACATATGGGTGTATATATATATATATATATATTTCGAACGACAATGTGCATTCCAATCTTCTATCCAAGCCGCACCGCATTCCGGTAATTAAATTTTACTCAGTTTAGAGAGACTAAAGTTAAAATCACTATGTATGTGTATGTGTGTGTGTGTGTGTGTGTGTGTGTGTGTGTTTGTGTATGAAATAAAGTGAGAGAAAGAGCAAGAGAAGATTTCACATACATCCCATATTGTTTAACGACAAACTGACTAATATTTGGTCGATCGAGTATGTGATTTGTGTCTGTAATGGCTATAATATGGTTCTCTAGTCGTTTATGATTAATATAAGGATTGCAAGTTTTCAATAAAAATAAAATATTTAATACACAAAGTACATAATATACTCAATGTTATAGTTATATAATAGTTATATTATTGAAAAACTTACAATTTATTGTATTACTTATTGGTATTCAATGAACCGTCATACAAGTACTCAAGGCGATTTATTGACATTCCCTACAATTAAGTACTTATACTATCATACAATCAATTATTCACCAAGTAATTCGGTGATAAAGTAAGTTTCCTCGTAATTTCGAAACCTCGAATCTTACGGCTCAAAATAAATAATAAAGAAAATGGAAAAAGTTTTTAATTTTAGATCGGCTATCTGCTATTCTATGTATTAAGTATGAACATTTTTCATAAAAATAAAATATCCAATATCAACAAAAGCTTCTTTTTAATGGTCAAGATTTCAGCAGATTTCAATAATATTATGTTGAATCTAAAATGTAAAGTTATTGTTCATTTCTTATACTCTGGAGAAATGCATTACCAATTCAATTTTTTTGCGAACCACAAAGGTATAATTTAATACGTATACTATGGAATACGTACTGACTATTTCATGGCTGTTTTAATCCATTCAACTGATCTTAGAAAATGTTTGTATTATCGTATTTATTTGTATTTTATTTTATATAAGGAATTCTGGTTGTACTTATTTTATTGGAATAATTATTTTATATATTATTAACTCTTTCTGTCACTTATATTCTAGGTATTCCTTTGGTTCATTATTACATTTTTCAGAACTCGACATTTCATTTATTTTTAAATAAATCATGTTTATTTATTTGGTCAATGTATGTCTTTTAATTAAAGTTCATAGTTTTCTACATACTTATCTTCCATTTTATTTTATATTTATAACCGTTTCATAAATTCATAAGTATGCATTAAGATGTATGATTAATCTATACAATTTTAATTTTAATATTATTCATAGTGTAAATATTATTTTATTAGATAATTAAAACAAAAAAGGGGACGAAACTTTTAAGTCTGCCAAGATACAGGAATGAATGAATGGCGTTGCTGTATTGAACTTTTAAACATTAAATTTATGTGTCACT